AGACCCTTCGAAGGGTCTAGGCCCGAAACGTCAGCCTTTCTGCTCCTACAATGCTGCTTGGCCTGCTGTGTTCATCCAGCTCTGCACCTTGTTGTCTTAGTTTTGTATCCATCTAGCCAGCTCACCTGGATCCCATGAGAACCTACCTTCTGTACTAGCCTGCCATGAAGTACCTTATCAAATGCCTTTCTAAAGTCCATGTGGTAAGGCATTTGATGAGATAAAATAATGGAAACACTCAGAAGGCTAGCTAGCATCTGTGGAGGGAAGAAAGTTTGAATAGTACTTCTTGAAATACTAGTTCTTCCCTTCCTGTATCCACTGATGCTACTTGACCATCTAAGTGCTTATTAACAGAATTTACAGAATATGTGCTTACTTAAATTTGTTCGTAATTTTAAAGTCAGAGAGATGGCTGTAAATGTAGAACAAATCTTCATTTACATTAAGACACATTTGTATGTCAAACACAGTAATTTCTTGTTTTTATTTTTCAGGAAAACGATTAAAGAAGGGTATGGCAACTGCTAAGCAAAGACTTGGAAAAATACTAAAAATACATAGGAATGGAAAACTTCTACTGTAAAGTTAGAAATGAGAAATATTTTCAGTTAAATGTATTGGCCTGACACTAATGCCGTTACATGTGTGACATAATGTTAACACATTTTAGATCATTCCGAGTTAGAGACAGTGTCCATTTCAAATGTATCTACAGACCATCCTCAGAGAGAGTGCTTTTGTGTGGTACTCTAGTAGATTGGCTCCACTTGGTCTGTGGCATAATTGCAAATGCTTGTTAGTGGCATTTGATATCTATCAAAGATGTCAGAGTAATCCACTTAATTCAGCCGAATCTTCTGTTGGAGCATTTCTAAGCATTAAATTACAGATGGTGGAAGAACAAATGAATTTGGAGATACTACCATTTTTTGAAGAATGTCAGAAACAAATTCATAAGAAAGGCTGTCCTTAAATGAACAGTAGACTTTGTCAGAGAGTACAGTATTAAACTGCTGCCTTTAACCTGAGTAAATGGATACTGTTTCTATAAATTTGTTTCTCAGGCAATTCCACATTTCAGATTTAAAGGAACATTTAAAATGTTTTTCATACTATAAATCCTGTAAATATGGTCAAAGATTAATCTTTATTGCAAATTATCTTTGAGTTACAACCCTATATATCCATTGATTTTTACCTTTTTTACATTTTCATCTTTTATGATAAAAATGTTGCTTCTTTTTTTGTTTGCTCTTATAATGGAACTTATTTTTTATAGTAGGCATTGCCTGAAAAACAAAGACATTACTTTGTGTGGCCTTGCAAAAATAATCTCTTGTAAGTAGTCACAGTACATCAGCAAAGGTAACACATTATAGAGGAGCTTTGTAAATAAGGTTACAGTTTTGTTCTATATGAGCTTATTATTTTCAATTTTGCATTATAATGCAATATGAAGTATTTTTGGTCTTAACTGGTGGTGTTTATGTCTATGTGACTTATCTGTAATTTATTAATATTTGTAGCTTTTTATATTTGTACATTTCTTACACACTTTTTTTTTAAATTTTTCAACTACTTGTGATGTCTGTTTTTTCTTGAATTTGTTACATAAAAATAGTCCTAAAGGGTCTTTTTTTTCTCTAAATCATCGGTGAAACAAAGTTACATGATTTTTTGCATTTTATGTGGTGTTATAATCCTGCCATAGAGCCTGTGCTTTTCTTCTATGTATATTTATAATTTAGATTGGTAATTAGGTAGTTCTTTATGAAAGCCATTCCTTTTTACCTTGTCTATTTGAGTTAAAGCTATATTGACTTTTTTTTATTTTATACAATCTTTATTTTTAAGACATAGTTTCTGTATGGAAGTTGCTTAAAGCTTAAAATAGCATTTAGTTCATTTTGGTCATATGTCTGTTAACGATTTTGATTTTTATGTGTTATTTTAACGTTTAATATCTTTTTATGCTGCACATCCAAATCATCAGCTATAATGGTATCTCTTTATGTTGTAGAAAAATGCTCTCAAAGAAATTTATATCAATGAATGAAACATTGAGTGAGAAAGGCTGCAGTTAAAATTAACAGTGAACCTCAGGAATAAAGTAAAATAGGTTCCAGCCGTCAGTGCACCTTTTGAGTCTCTCAATATCTTGTATATGGATTTTCTTGCATACCTGACATGTTTTTGATAAATACACCTTTCAATTTTAAAACAGAAGTCTGAATGCTTTTAGTAAAAGACATGAAATATATATTAATCATCTCAACATTTTTAACAGTTTTAAAGCTGCAATGTGTATCGTATTGATGCTTAAAGCTTTTCAGACTCAAGTCAAGTTAGTCTTTTTAATGTCTGAACATACTGCAACTTTATTATAAAATCCTTTGTAGCTTATTAAGAAAATAAAGTATTTATGTTACCAAGTTTCACTCATGGCCCTAGAAAGAGGGGCATTATGGTTTAATAAATTGCATTTATCAGAAATGCTAGGACACAGTTTTTGGAGTGAAAGTTGTGGTGCTGAAGTTTGAACTGACCTCCAGAAATCAAAGCCACCTAAATTCAAAATGATGGTGTGCGTGTCAGTGTAGAAAGTTGTTAGGAATGAGACTTTGTGGTAAAGTAGGTTAGACACACTGGTCTTTCATCACTTAAGTTCAGCCTATGTTGAAGGAAATATATGTCAGCTGTAATGGTCCTATGTGAAATATGCTTGGGAAAGTGCAACCTAATTGATAGTCGACGTAGGCACACAGCAAAAAAGAGTCCTTCATTTGATGCTGGTAGGCCACTTGCCACACTTACAGAACAGCACTTCTTAATATGCCAGCATGACACAACAGCTGGTGTGGGAAATAGAAACTTCACAGTGGTGCAGTGTGCTATATTAATGTTAGGACAGAATGGTGAGAGCTTTACAAATATTCAATTTCCTGACATTAACTTCCCTTGCCTTGATAATTGCAAAAATAGCGTGATGATAATTGTAAATGTTCAATTAATACACACAGACTACACAGTAGGAGGTGAATTAATTAAAAGGAGTAATATATAGATAAACAGTGATTATTTTAATTCAGTTCATGCAAGCCGAAATGAAGAAGTATTGTTTAACCAAAATGTGTATGTATTGAATTACACTTTAGTAATGCAACCTAAAATACAAAACTGCAAATTTGACCATCTCTATAGCTGCCGACAGCAGCTGATTATACTTGGTTATATATTTGGTTGCTTTTGACAAAAAACCTGAAATCGTTTATATAATTTACCCACATATTGAGAAAGAAATCCATGACAAGCAGCACAGTAATGTCTACTGATTTCTCACAGGTTTTTTTGTATTTATATTAGATCTGTTTCCATATGGCATAATATACAATAAACTGGAAATGGGGATTAAAAAGAAAAAAAGCTTTCTTCTGAAGTTGTGAAAGTATACTGTTTGTTACTGTGTAATACAGTAGGAAAACAAACTGGCTGATAAAGGATAGATTAGTAATAGCCACTTTATACTTTGCACCATAGGTCATGTTTTGTATTCAATTTTTATAAGTTCCACTGCACTATGAATTACAACAGAAACACTTCTTACATTTTTATTTTAGCTACTATTATTGTGTACATTGTCAATAAAGTAAATAACCTGTATAGAATGTGTTTTAAAACTGTTAAAAATAAAATCTACATACTCTTCTGTTTCATGTTTCTGCCTTTTCATGTCCTTTTTAAGCACTAGTCATTTGAACACATTTTAATGAATTTACAGCATTGATGCTGAAGCAGTGCAGAATGCTGATGAGATGCCGCATTATGGTGCAAAATTAAGAAGTGGTTATAGCATTTCTAAGCAGCAGATTAAAACTCTTTGTACATTACATTTGAATACTGTCTTTTCAAGACAAGATCTTCCTGTATCCTTCATAATTTAATATCATCAAAATAATCTGATGTTATTTACAAGGAATAGATGCTAACTTCAACCACTGGACATCTGGTGGTAGTGGATCAAACCACCCATTACTCATCCAAAAAGGAAAGTTTGATGAATTGTTCAATGGGTGACTAATCACTACCTGGTAGTGCAAATGAAGATTTATCTGATAACTCGCTGCAAGAGTCTGCCTCTAATGTTTTTAGTTTGCACTCTTCTGTGGCTTTCACACTTCATTATGTTCTCTATTTCAAACTCCATGTCACACTGATTTTATTTTTGTATATATTTGTTCTTTGTAATTCTCTTCTGTGCACCTCTCAGAAAAATTGAATTTGTAATAAAACTCAATGTTGTCCTTATACAAATCTGACTAGCAGTTATCTAAAACATTAGATGAAATCTTCCAACCTTAGCATCTGCAGGAATAACTGGAGCATTTTTGGGATGGGAAGCTAATTTACAAATGCATGGAATTTATTGTGGTTCTTTAACTCAGACATGTATTAGTACTCTGTTTCTGGGTTGCCTGAACAGTTGAAGGAAGGTGGTAAGATTATATCTTCTGTCAAAAGAAGGATTTCTATTGAAAGGGGCTCTGATATGGCCTACGAGAACTCAGTATCACTTGTATTTTTGATGCTGTAGTAACCACAGTGCCGGAGAGGGGACCTGGGAAGGCTATTCTCCAGGTCTTTCATTCTTACTTTTAGGTTTTGATGTGAGATCAGAGGAACTGCAATAAGGTGAGCTGTCTTGAGGAGAAGATAACTTCTCAAATCAAGCAGGCATATGATTAAGGATGCCAACAGAAACAGTGATTCCTCCAAAATGGTATCAGTGCATCAACAGGATCCAAAACCTCAGAAGGGCAGAAAAGATCACTTGCATAATATTTTTAAGTGCCCAACATTCTCCTATGCTGCACTCATCAGGGTACCACACATAGAAAATAGGAGCTGGAGTAGGCCTTTCAAGCCTGCTGTGCTATTCAGTATGATCATGCTGGATCATCCAACTCAGTACTCTGTTCCTGCTTTGGTCTCTTTAGCTCTAAGGACTATGAACACCTTACACCTTTGCCCATTTTTCTCTCTGCAGCCACCTCATACCCCAATCTGAGAAGTGAAATTCAAGTACACATTCACCTTCAGCTAATTGCCCTATGCCTCAAAGTAGACGTCCACATTATAAGCCTGAGATAACAAGGTGTAGAGCTGGATGAACACAGCAGGCCAAGCAGCATCAGAGGAGCAGGAAGGCTGACGTTTTGGGCCTAGACCCTTCTTCATTTCCACAAAAGCCATTTTGCACTCTCTGTAGGAGAAGTGAAGATATAAATTGGCAAGAAACACAGATTCGGGGTGGTAGTGATGGTACAGGGATATGCATTGATAACATTCTGTGCCTACTTGTTCACAAGGAAGGAGCTGTTAATCCAGGAGATGTCAACAGTGAGCTACGAATATAGCCTAAGCCTTTTCAGTCACTAGTCAAAAGAGTTAATTCTCTATCTCTACATCCTATGTTCAAGGTCTTGCCTCCTCCAAACTGATTCTGGGTGTCAAAGCCTTTTACTTTGTGGACGGGAATGTGTCTGAGGACAATTCGACAATGCAGCTGCAATTGATATCCCTACTTATGTTGGTGATGATGTGGGTTTTTGGCTCTTCATCCTCTTAGCTGTGGCAGGTTTTCTGATAGAAGTGTTTTGAACAGCAGCCTCACAATAGCCATGGCAGGAGCTCTTCAATTTAACTGATCAAAGTCTTCTCAGCTTGTTAGTTTCATTGCAGAACCTCCTCCCATGTGCACATGCCTCAGTGACTCTGGAAAGTTGGTGGTTTGCCAGGAAATAGGTCCCCTCATGAGAAAGTCAAAAATGAGAGTTCAAGCTAATTATCTCATTGGCTTTTAAACAACTTTTAATAGCTTACCTGTCAAAGCCAAGGAATTTCCCACCAACCTTCAATCTCATCTGTAGAAACCCAGAAAAGGGTGGGATGCTGTTGGGATCATGATCACACAATGATTTCAGGGGATTTAGCTTGCCTCATGCATGTGAACTGCCTCCCATCATCTGGGAAAAATCCCTAAATTGTGATAAAAGGACCATTATATATGTACCATATTTTTGGATTTTGATTTCCAAGTAGTGGCAGATGGATGTGGTCAGTTTTGTAAAGGTTTCTTTTAAGCAGGTCAGAAAGTCATTTGGAACAGTGTCCGAAGAACGTCAAATCCAAGAAAGCATGTGACTCCAGTAAAGTGCATGGGAGAACCCCTGTCATGTTAATGGATGAAATAGTCATATTTCTGAGTTTAAAACAGACCAATAAAATGTTTTGTTAATTCTGTTTCATTTAGTTAAGAGCAGAAAATTCAAATTCTCACCTCAGAATAATTAAGGGTTCAATTCAGAAGGGAGACCAGTTTAACATAGCAGAAAAATTAAACTTCAATTTTAGTGGAAATAGTCACTTTAACTGAAGTATTTTAGTTTGTGAAGCTTCCAAACCCAGAGTATTTGGACTATCAGAATTCTTAAAAGTTCAGAGTTGTGAAAGGTCATGTCAGCAGACTTGGAAAGGATTCATAAAACTGTCCATGCAGTCCAAGGAAAAGAAATCGGAAGAGTCAATTGAGATGGGAATGAAATTTTTCTGGAATTGAATATCTGTAAAAGGATAGTGTTTGGAAATATTGAGATTTTGTTTTGCTGTTTGAGTTAAGACTTTTCTTAGTGTGTTCTATAGCTGTGTTTTTATTTTCTTTTGTGTAATGAACTTATGCACTGTTCAAGAATATCTGCAACCTAGTGTAAATATGTTTCAGTGATTAGCCACAAGTGCAAAAATTGAAGCTGGCATTCATTCTGATAACTGACTTGACCAGTATTAGCAATTAGCTGGTGTTATAACATCATGTCCAATTTTATGCCTTCATATGGTTATTGATATAGTAGTTCTACAAAATAGTTCAGAGAGGAGCCATAGGATTAATATGAAAATGAACCTTAGCCTGGGTTAACACCACAAGTTCAGTGAGCTGAGTCTCTCTGCTCCAAAAAATTGTGAACTTTGGGGGGGATATAAGATTTTTCATTTGTTAATACAATATTAATATAAATTCATAATTTGGGATTTGGACATCACAGGCATTTGTTCCCTATCCTATTGCCCCATAAGAAGAATATGATGAGCTACCTTCTTGAGCTGCTGAAGTGTGTGAGAAGTACTCCCATAGTGCTGTTAGATGGGGACTTCCTGTGTTTTGACCTAGCAATAATGACCGAATGACTACAAATTTCCAATGCAGATGGCATGTAATTTGGAATGGATCTTGGAAGCAGTAATGTTCCGATACACTTGTTTCTTTTGTCTTTCCAGGTAATGAAGGTTGTATGTTTGGGATATTGAAGAAACCTTGACATATTTAAAACAATGAAGAAATTAGAACTACATATGAACATACTGTTTGAGCTAGATAAGTCAAATCTCACCATCTGCCAAGATGGGGTTCAAGCTCATGTCCTCATATCATTCTCCATTTTTTTTTCTGAAGAAGGGTCTAGGCTTGAAATGTCAGCCTTCCTGCTCCTCTGATGCTGCTTGGCCTGTTGTGTTCATCCAGCTGTACACCTTGTTATCTCTCATTCTCCTAGGTCTCTGGATTACTAATTCAGTGACATTACCACCATGCCATTACCGCAACTTGTTTCCATATGAGGCAACTTAGAGGTGGGAAATAGATCGCCAGAAGTTGGGCACCATCTAAAGCTGGCTGCATGCCATGAGCAGGACCTGAAACCACATGTAGGGTGAGGCATCTTAAAACTGAAAGCAAGATTGATACACTAATGGTGAGCTTCAGAGCAGCAACAGTAACTCCAGGCAACAGTACAAATGATTGGATTGGAGGCTGAGATCATGAGTAGATCAAAGATCAATCAGTGGGTGTAAAATCCTGGTATGGAAGAAAACAAACAAAAATCCATGGTGACTGAAAACACAGTAATTATTTTCCGTTGCTCTGACTGATCTTTCACATCATGTGATTACAGTCCATAATAATGGGATCTGCTTGGTTCATGGTGTCATGTGATTAATGGAAACCAATCTGTATTTTTATGAGCTGATGACAATTTGTCAATTATATAATGTTATGATTAATGTTATGTAGTCTCCCTGCAGAGACTGTGACAAACACTACATCGGACAAACAGGAAGAAAATTAACAAAAAGTGTACATGAACATCAATTGGCTACGAAAAGGCACGACCACTACTCACTCATCTCTATCCACATGGATAAGGAGAACCACCAATTTGACTGGGACAAGCAAAGCAGAGACAAGCACAGGAATTCCGAGATGTGTTACTCCACGAAGAAAGCCATCAACAAACACATAGAGCTCGACCCCATATACACTCCACTGTGAAAGAAAACTGGAAGTGAGGTAATTCAGCTCAACAGACTCCAGAGTTTAAATATCAAGCGGGAAAACACAACAGCGCTTCATCGGAGGCTGCACTGATGATGTTACCCAGCAGGGTAATGAAACGTCTGTGAAACAACGAACCAGTTCAGTGAGTCAACCAACCACAACGTCCACAACCTGAGCTACTCTAAAACCTTATACTGTTATGACTCAAAGACTTTTAGAGTCTTAGAGTCGTCTTGTTTCAGTCGTACCATTCTCACAATGATTCAGAAAGTCATAAAGGTGATTTGAACTCTCTTTGATTGGTGGGCTTAGATTGGGTACAAAGTCAACATTAAAAAATTGAAAACTAACCATGGACCTATCCCCTTTCAGGTTTTTACAGACCAATAAGCTATCAGGAAGTGAATGGATGATTAAATGTTAAGGATGCAATATGTCTCCATTTTAACACAATTTCTATTTTTAACATATATCCACTGGATTTCCCTGGGTCTGGGAAATCCAGTAGGCAAAAGGAATCAAGCATAAGGGATGGATACTTAAGATAATTTAAATTAAATCATTGCCTGTGGTCAGGAGAGTCAAGAGTCCTCAGGCTGTATTCTGTAAACCACACAAAAATTATTGCTCATCTGACCCTATTACAATCACCCATTCCCAGAGCTGCCACCAACTCTACTGATCTTGCCTGAAACTCAGTGCTGATCCTCTGATTTTGCCTCCAAATCTTGACAATCACCAAATCTCCTGCCCTTGTCATAACCCCATGGCAATCCCTGATCTCTTTGCTTCCCTCTCCTACTTTACCCACAACCCCCAAAGAAATTGTAGCA